CCTTGGCTTTGCCCATGTCGCTGCCGAAAATTAATTCGGCACGATCAATGTCTTCCAACTTGACGGGACAGTCTTGAATTTGTCCAGTCCGGATCATGTTCCGGTAGCCTTCCAAAGGCGGACGCTGGAGGTTGTGGTACAGGTTCCTGGCTAGGAATGCACCCTTGGCTTACTTCTTGGTGAACCCTTCGAGGCTGCCCTCAATGGTTTGAACCAAATGTTGAAACTCTGGAGCAAACTGGTTCATCTGGGACATCCGATCGAGGAGCTCTGACTCAATCTCCACTCCATACAGACCTTTGACGGTCCTGCCATACCTCGTGCACTCGTATGGATTCCAGTAGGATGGTAGTCGTGAATGGCATCATCAACTCTCGCGTCCATGAAGACATAGGACCCATCTTGATCCTTGATACAGTCATCAACAACACGGGACAGGGAGTTGATGTTGGCGATACCTCCTGGATTGGCATAACTGACGCCAAATGGAGTATCACCTTCTTCGGAAAGCTTGGTGCTGCCAACGTTGGTTCCCATCTCGATGGGATGCTTGGAAGATCTTCAGTTGACAAGCATGTGCTCGTTCATGACTGTGCGGACAGAACTGCCGCTGTCAATGTACACAGTGTTGGGCCCATCAGGAGTGAGGCGCTTGACCGGCACTCCCGCAAGATTTGGCTCTGCCACTCCTGTGAGTTCGGCATCTGCCACTCCTGGAAACTCAAACGCAACTTGATGTTGCTGTTCTTGGAAGTCTTGAAAACAATTGCCTCGTTGGTTTTCTCGCTGGCGCCGGCTGGGTCCACGGTACAAGTAGCGGAACTCATTCTCTGAATCCGAGCTGTAGTCGGAACAACAGCTCTGATCATCGTCTTGCCCATTCCGAGGGATCACTCCTTCGAACGGATCTGTGTTGAAGGTAGCGTCAGGGAAGGCAGAACGACTTACAAGAATATTATGGGTATCACTGTACCACTGTAGGTCGAGGTCAGACCCGATGCTTACACCGTCTGGACCTCCCTGGTCTAGCTTATTGTGGATGTAGCCGGAGTGGTAGCTTTCTTCTGATGATGTGTCATCTCGCCTCCACTCTTCCGCATAAAGCGGGACTCCTCCAAGGAAATCAATGGCGAATGCCCCCCAGTCTATGGATGCTTCCGACTCACTGTTGATTGTGGAGTCATCTCTGGCCATCAGTGGCGGGACTCCATCAACTTGATGGTGCTGGAAGTGAAACTGCAAGGACCCTGCCGCGCTGGCCTGAGAGGCTTGGCTTGACATGGGAAACTGCTGGAAGTTTGACTGGCCCGTAGGAGGTGGAGGGATTCCACTGAATCCACTCCTGGTCGAAGTGTCTCCGGCTGGAGCTGGAGCTGGAGCTGGTGCCGTCACCACTGTGGTAGGCACTCCTTGGAGCAGTTGCATCTGGTGTTGATGGTACTGCGGCATGAAGGACTTCTTCATGCCATTGAACTTGTAGATCGCCCATTCAGGTTTGGGGATCTTGGACTTGACCTTGCACTGCGGAAATTTTGTGATCAGTAGCAGGCTTCACCTGGCTGTGACTGCTGGTAGAAGACAGCAGCTGGGAGCCCTTCCTTCATCTTCTTGGGATCAAAAGAAGGTGGCTTGGGATTGGAGTAAGGTTTCCTTTCCCTGGCCTTCTGCTGATCCAACCATTCCTTGCTGGCCTTGAATCTGTCATTGGACAGTGTCTCTCGGAGATGATCCAGGGTAGCAGGGAACTGGATGGTGCCATCCATGGCATAGGCTGCCTCAACGGTCTTTTGGTAGTCTTCGTATCTTCCTTCCTGGAGTCCATGGTAGCCCACGGTTGCCTTCAACCTGGCTCGTTCCTTCACTAGCACCTCTTCTTGGGCGTCGTGACCTGATGCAGCCTTGTCTTCGTCTAATCCGATAGTCCTGGCATCAATGAACTCAGTTCCGACCAGGTCATAGGCCTGATCCACGTCGCTGTCGACCTTCCTCAAGTAGAAGTCAACTCTGTCATGGTCTCCTTGCTTTGGGAACAAGCCACGTTGGATGGTCTTGATGTATTGTAGCAATGGGAACTCTTTGGTTGAGCCTTGCATCACTATCAGACGGATCCTCTTGAGCATCTCAATGGGATCGTGCTTGACTGCATCCTCATAGTCTCCTAGGCCTCTCAGCTTGGACTTCATGGCGTCGGTACAGTATGTCACCTGGATGGTGGTTGCACCAGTCTTGAGGATGTTGTCATAGGATTGAGTCGACTTGTCATAGATGATGACTTTGCCTTGTACTCGCTGAGCTCCAACGCATCGTACTCTTGGGCATTGGGATCAGTAAGTGATGTCTGAAGTGTCGGCTTGTTTGGTTTGGTTGGTGCCTGACTTGTCATGGTCTCAATGGCCAATGAAGCCAGTGGCACATCATTCCACTCAGGCTTGATCCTTAGGTCCTGAACAATGTGGGTCAGAGTTTCTTCAAAAGGATAATACCTGCTGTCTGCCTGTCCATTTGGATGGAACAGAAACTGTCACTTGGAACTTTTGTTCTGGTTCCTGTAGCTGTTGCCTCTTCCTTGATGGCTTCTTCCTGAGGAATTGAATCCCCTACCCTCCTAGAAGGGTATCTTCCTCAATCACGACCACCTCTTCCTTGGAATCTCATGGTCTTGCTGGTGTGGTAATGCACTCTCTTGTGCTTGCTTGTTCCTTGGAACTAGCTTGTGTGTTCTCGTGGAACTGTTGTGCGTGGATACTCCTGCAGGAAGGATCTCACATTGGATAGCACTGCTGCGTGTCTATTCAAAAAGCTTGCTTGTTGGCTGGATAGCCTTCTTTTGGTCACTCTTGGTGCACCTGTTGGTGGCTGGATAGCCTCTGTCTTTGACAGCTCACGTAAAGCGTGGTATGGATCCTTGTGGGTAGTAGCGAACTGCCTCTGTTGGTCCTTTTGTTGCCTCTGCAAAGCTTGCAGATGGTCTTGGTATGCTTGGATGGGTACAACGTGTGAGTATTACAGTGTGAAACAGGCAAACGGTGGAGTTTTAGGACTCCGTGTGGTTTACCGGGATTTTTGTATCACTTGAATCAACCTATCTCACTCGATTTTCGGAGTTAGAAGCTTGCACTGATGCTCAGAGATGCGGCTAGATGTCCTCTATCGATTGGTGTCAACGCCTGTGTCACGACTTAACTTGATCGCCGTATGATTACTTATTCTCGTTGTGATGAGACGGATCAAAATCACGCGCGATGACACGACGATGTAATCGACTGTAACTCTCGCAATAACAGCCGGATTTCCGTCGTTCAAGTATGAAATCGCCTTGTAATCGCGTATTCTTTACACTGGTACCCTTGGATGTCCGTAGTTCCAGCCGTAAACTGTTAGACGATCTCACGTACTAGTACCTGTGACTGAAGATGGGATTTTCTTCCCGCGCGCACCTCTGTCCTGTTAGAGGCCTTTCGATGCTCTTATAGTGTAGCTAGAGGCTGATTCTTTGCACCTCTTCTCTGTTGCAGGTGTTAACTCACTTGATGTCAATACACTTTGACTTGATAGTCTTGTAGTAGGATCAACTTGATGATATCAATCTCGAGGTGTTGATCTCGAACTCGAGATGAGACTTTTGCTTTACAGTGTTGTATGCTAGTAATACTGCAGCTTATTGGGGAGTAATTTGATTTTGGATTAAGCTGTAAAGCAAAAGTGAGGATTTTCTGGTGGTGCATAGCAATTCTTGTGATTGAATTGGATATAAGGACCCCCGCAACACTTTAGACCTAAAACTCCCTTGGTTCCTTGCATCATGAATATGCATGCAAACCGGACTAGATATTTAATTAATACACGAGTCAATAATAATTGAGGTATCAGGAATATTTCCTCCAACACAAGCAGTGCAGACGAAGCCAATTGTTTCGCACAAGGCCCTACAAATTTGATGGACGGCGGATGGATCCAGCGACATTTTACATTCAACATTGATGGACTGCAAAATCAAGCTACTCCGTTTAAATAAAGACCCCTCTGTCGTCATTGAGTTGCATGGGACATTGCACCAACTGGTCTGTCCAACGTGTCGCAAAGTGTCCCCCACATCCGAGATCATGCTGTCGTCCCAATCCAAAAGTGAAAACAGTACAGTCTTCCTCCAACATGTCCCTGCTGCAATGACACGACTACTCGACTGCGATTTCAGGTCCTTTTGTACGACGATGAACAACGAAACTTGAATTGGGATCACGCCCCCCTTGACAATAATAATCTGCAGCATGTATTGGTTGTGCTTTGGATTGGCATCTCCTTTCAACAACAAGCATCCTGTGCACACTTTCAAAAGTGTGGGAAAGGACAACAAGTAATCATCCTGAAACCGCACAACCGATCCATTTTATTGCCAACCCCAATGCCAACGAGGTGCTCCAAGATCTACAAAGTGCTGTAAGGCATCTCAGGCCCAACATGGTTCCGGTAGAAGCTACCAGTGATGATTTGTTTGAGTCGTTTGCTAATAACACCGGTACCACTATTGACTGACTTGGCTGCATGCATGCCTTTGGCTGCGACACAGTGTTGATCCATTCATTCCATGGACCACACAACAACTTTTTGTTTTTGTTCCGCCCGACCATACACTGGGTGGTGGGAATGGCAGTAAGGCTCGGGGAGGCAAATCCAATGACACTGTGGGGGACCTGAAACCAGTGGAAGCTAAATTTACATGTATCCTAGCCAGCGGTATCTGCTTCTACACAGAATCCATTAAAGCCAGCGAAAGCAATCATTATCCTAGCTAGGGGTATCTTCGTCTGGCGAGGAAGAGTTTAGCAAAGGCATGGGCCTCCTTAGGTAAGGTGATCGGAATGTGTTTGACTTTGTAGGGCGGGTTGGGCTTTGGCATCAGCCGGAGTTCACTACATGTATAGGTAGCTCACACAGCTGGAATTGAACAGGTATCTTATGAATCATCTAACACTGATAAACTATACTCTACGATTTGCCACCTAGACATTGAGAAGTTCATCTGACAAACAGCTCTCTTGTTTTGTGCAGCCCTTCTCTTCATCATAGAATCCATCATGCACATCATCAACACTCCTCAAGAAGAGCTTCCAAGGGCCATGTTCAGAACCAGAAACAACTGATCCAGCCGAGGCATAGCACCCTGGATGAAGAACTCCAGTCACATAGGTGTCATCTATTGTGAGGCCATTTGCATCAATGAAGTGGCCACTCACATGTGAATCATCCACAATTGTACAACCCTGAAAGTGTAGCTTGGCATACTCATAGAGAGAATTCCCAAAGTACCACAAATCACCTTCCACTGTAGCTCCCATCATTCGAGCATAATAGGTGAACATGGGTGTGCCATACAGAAGAAGAACCAGCCAGTTGCCAGCATTGAACTGCCACATGTGGTTGATGTAAATGGAAACCAGGTCAAGCTGAGTACTACTGGGGAGTTTCAGCATCAAAGTTTCGACAGACCTGGTCAAGAGGACCCAAACAAATAGCTGAAGGGCAATGCATCCTGTCAACCCCAACATGGCAATGGATGTGGAGGAGCTCTTCAAAATGGCAAGGCCAATCTCAAAGGAAGGAATGAGGGAGGCAAAAATGACAACATTCAATAGAAGTTGTGATACTTCTGGAAGAAGTATGAAAGAAATGCTGGGCTTCCATGCCTTTCCTGAAGGATTCAAATCATAGACGTCATCGGACACAATGGACCTTGGTGGGATATTGGATGATTGAATCTTGACACCAGTACACAGGGAGCAGTTGTACCCAATGCTGCTGTTTACAATCTCCATCTTGGAATCTGCCCGCTGGCTCAAGTCAATGGTACCAGTGGCAACAAATGACTTTCGAATCTTGACAAAATCAACCTTGGAAGGGAAGAAGATTCTGTATGGGTTGCTAAGGCATGATTCCATATCCACATCAAGGCCGTGGAGGCAAAGGATGATATGCCAGAGCCTGGTCTGACCAAAGAAAGGAGTAAGGGGCCAAGAAGCTACACGGAAGTGGAAGTCACATGCCCAATTGGTTGCTTGGCGATAGAGTGAACCATTATGCTCGTCGGATGGATCCCGTTTCCCAATCAAGAACCACTTGAGTGGAATGCTTGTGATGAGGCCAAGAAAGGATGAAATCAGAACAAGGGCAAACCAATGGAGGATCACTTCATAACGCCAGGAGGGCATGATTCGATTGAGCGAGATGTGAACCAGAAAGGAAAGTGCAAAGAAGTGATATGCTTCAAGGACTGTCCAAACTAACTTGAAGACATCCAACATGGAGTCTTCAAAAGAGCTTGCTTCTTCAAGTTTGGCTGAGCCTGCATGACATGCTGGGTTTCCTCTGGCAAGAGCACCTTCTGGTACTATCGCCCCCTCTTCAACAACAGCCAGTTTCTCCACCTTGCTGCCATCTCCGATCTTGGCTCCAGGGCTGATCATACCAGACATATGGCAGTTGCTTCCAACCACAATGGGACGGAAGGTCATCAGTGGGCCTGCTTCTGTGGACTCGGAGAATTTCCTGCACTTTATGGGGTGATCAATCGTAGCGCTCTCCCCTACTTTCACAAGATCGAATTCGCGGATGTAGGAATCAATCTTTGCTGACCATGCCAGGTCTGCTCCAAGAACCTTGTAGAAGACCCAAATGTACTTGGTTTCCAGAACAAGTGGCCCCACGATGGACTCCCAAACATCCAAGCTTCGGTCAACAAACCACCACCGAACAAAGTCCCATGACAGGATATCAAACTGCCTGGGTAAATACTTGCCAGTGATTGCTATCTTGCACAGAACCACAACCACCGAAAAAGACAGCATGAATAGAGGGACTGTCATGATCAACAAAATCCAAGAGAATGGACCAGTACACTCCCCAATTTCAGTCGAGTCACACTGATCCATCACCCAGGAGACAAGAAAGTAGGATGGAACAACTGATACCAAAACCAGAAGAAGAATCACAAATGTGCCAAGGGTTTGGAGCACTCCTAGTTGCAGCTTGCTGATCCTAGACTGTGATGAGTTCCAGTGAAAATCAGGATGGTTGTCTGTGTCTTGTTTTGGAAAGCCTTTGCCCTCTGATGCTTTCAAAAAGACTGATAGTTCATTTGGTGTTGGGTAGAGTTGCTCAAAGTTGGCAGGGAGCACCACATGCAGCTCCTCTTCAACTTTGTTCCTGAGACCGCTTTTTCAGTATTATGTTAGTTGCTCTAAGCTCTCTTAGTTGTTACTGTTGTCTATTGAGATACTACTGAAAAAGTGGGTGGGGGCTACCAGCTTTTACTACTGGCATCAAATTCTAGTACAGAGGTACAGGTTGAATCCCTAATCGCGAATCCCCAACACTCATTCCAAAACATGCACCATGGCCATGAAGTCATCCATGGGTCAGTTGAGCTGTGCCAACGAAGAATGCAAGTCTTTTGGCCAGTTGAAGTGTTCCGAAGTGACCAGAACATCTCTGCCGAAGAAGTCAGCTCATGTGACAAAAGCAGGAGAGAACGAGGCCAAGGGCTGTCGAACCAAACACACTGGAGACTTCCCATTTTCTCCGAAAGTTCAACTCCTTCTGTGGAAATGAATCCTTTGGGCCGTGGTACACGAGCCGCTTCCAAAAGAGGACGAAGAGAATGGGGACTGATGAAACAGCGCAAGAACACCGACGCCTTTGACGTTTCTTTGCGAGAAGCCATCAACCGTCGCAAACACCACAGGAGGGCCCTCCGAGCTGAGCGAGACAGCACGGCATCTTGGAGACGAGCCCACTTGGAGATTTATGTTGTTTCTTTCTCTCCTAACTACAAATATCACAACTTTTAAAATATGACGATAGACACAAATCTAGCCATACTTGCAAAGCTAGACAGCAACAAAGTAAGCACAGATATCCCAGGTATTGGTGGATCCTTGGAGGCTCCCCTATAGAGCCATGAGACACTAGCTAGCCACCATGCAGCCAGCTTTGTCTCACAATCAACTATCTATTGTATGCATTCAGTGCAGTTGAAGGATGCACGATACAGCTGCTGGGTCGTTCTCACACCATCAGGTATTACTGAATTACACATCAAAAGCAATTGGCATCTGATAGATATCGTCTTCCTGCTGAGTTTCAATCAGATGGTCTGTACTTCTCTCAGGATTCTCCACATCTCTCAACAAACTTTTAGATTCCTGGGCACCGATATCACTTCTTTTAAAGAAGAGCTTCCATGGACCATGTTCGGCAGCAGATACCACTGATCCAGCAGAAGCATAGCAACCTGGATGCAACAACCCAGAGACATAGGTGTCATCAATGGTAAGGCCATTGCCATCAATGTAGTGTCCGGCCACATGGGCGCTGTCAACGATGGTGCAACCTTGGAAGTGGAGGTTACCATACTCGTACAGAGAATTTCCAAAATACCAAAGGTCACCATCCACCTCAGCCCCCATGAGTCGAGCAAAGTAGGCAAACATGGGTGTACCATAGAGAACCATTACAAGCCAATTTCCAGCACGAAATTGTCTTACATGGTTGATGTAGATACCAAAGAAGATCTGCTGACCATTGTGCGGAAGACTCAATAAAACCTTCTCAGCTGCTTGGGTCAAGAGAATCCAAATAAAGAGTTGTAGTGTGAATGCAACTGTCAAACCGCACGCAGAAACAGTCAAGGAGGAGCTTTTTGTGGCAGCAAGACCAATTTCATAGGCAGGGACAATGCTGGAGAAAAGGACCACATTCAGCAGTTGCTGTCCTAATTCTGGAAGAAGCAAGGTAAAACTGCTGACATTCTGTGAATTGTCTGAATGATTCAAATTGTAGACACTATCGGAAACGTTGGATCTTGGTGGGATTTTGGATTTGATAATCTTGACTCCTGAATGAAGGTTGGAATTGTAGCCAATACTGCTGTTGATGATTTCAATCTTGGAGTTTGCTTTTTTACTGAGGTCAAGAGTGCTGGTGGGAATAAAAGAACACCGAATCTTCACAAAATCTACCTTGGAGGGGAAGAAGATTGTGTATGGGTGGCTGAGGGTAGATTTCATATCAACGTCAAGGCCATGGAGGAAAAGGATGAAGTGCCACACCTTGGACTGCCCAAAGAAAGGAATAAGAGTCCAAGCTGCAATCCGGAAGTGGAAGTCACATGCCCAATTGGAGGCTTGTTTCCAGAGTGAGCCTCCATATTCATCTGATGCATCACGTTTCCCAATCAAAAGCCATTTGAGAGCAATGCTGGTGAAGATGGCAAGGAATGAAGTGGTTGGAAAGAATAAGAACCAATGGAGGATTGAAGCATAGCGCCAGCTGGGCAGGAGTTGGTTAAGTGTCATGTGGACGAGATATGACAGTGCAAAGAAATGGTATGCTTCAAAGATTGTCCAAACTATCTTGAAGACATCCAACATAGATTCTTCAAAAGAGTGTGTTTCTTGATGTTTGAATGAGCCTGCATTGCATGCTGGGTTGCCTTTGGCAAGGACATGAGCCGGCACCAATGCCCCCTCTTCAACAACAGATAGTTTCTCCACTTTGCTGCCCTCTCCAAGCTTGACTCCGGGGCTGATCATGCCAGACAGCTTACTATGCTTTCCGACCACAATGGGGCGGAAGGTAATTTTGGGATTTGATTGTTCTGATTGAGAGAATTTCCTGCACTTGATGGGATACCCAATAGTGGCACTGCTCTCTACTCTGACAAGATCAAATTCACGAATGTAGGATTCAATCTTTGCAGTCCATGCAAGATCTGCTCCAAGGAGCCTGTAGAAAAGCCATATGTACTTTGTTTCTTTGAAGAACTTTCCCGCGAGTGATTCCCAGACCTCCATGAGACTATCAATGAACCACCATTGTAGATAATCCCATGACAATAGGTCAATTTGTCTTGGTTGATACCTCCCAACAACAGCATACTTGCAGAGCACTACAATCACTGACAGTGATAGTAGGAATAGAGGGAAAGTTATGGGCAAGAGCGCCCATGAGATTGGACCATTGCACCCTTCATGAGATGAGCCACATGTGTCCAATACCCAGGAAACAAGGAAGCCGGATGGAACTAATGAGCACAAGAGCAATATAAGGATCACAATGATGCCAAGAGTTTGGAGCACTCCTAGCTTTAGCTTGCTGAGCTTTGATATTTCTGAGTTCCAAAGGAAGTCAGAATGACTGCAGGTGTCTTGCTTGGGGAAGCTCTTACTCTCTGATCCTTTCAAGAAGACTGATAGCTCACTCGGTGTTGGGTAGAGCTGTTCAAAGTTTGCCGGAAGGACCACATGCAGCTCCTCTTCCACTTTGTTTCTAAGCTCAGCACTCTGGAGTGATGTGAGTCCATTTTCAGCCCAAGTCTTGGATGTGTCAATATGTGATCCAACGACCGACAGGAGTACATTGGCGTATCTGGCTGAGAAGTCATTTGGGTCTGTAGCTCTAGCACTTGCTTTAGAGGCATTGATATTGGAGTTAGGGTTGGTTGTCTGGGCTTTTTGGTTTTCACTTCCCCATTGGTCAAACAGGGAGAGCCAATCTTCTTCATTGAGTGTCATTCCTTTGTCACTGCCAAGTGGTGGGTGGGAGTATCCAAGTTCTTGAGCCCAAGAAAGGTTGAGCCTTCCAAAGATCTCAAGTGCTCTTCTTGACAAGATTGATTGGGTGTAATACTTTGGAGAAGTTGTTTTCCTTCCTATAGTCTGTAGAACCAGATACAAGCTTGTTGTCCTGGCATAAAAGAAACTTGCATTGACATCTCCAATGATGCAAGGTAGCAGCAATTTGGATGCCATCCAAGTGGAGGAGTCCTTATCTGCAGACCCTATATATATATATCAAAACCAAAAAACAAATTGTTTGGGTTGACTTCACTCTGAGTTGTGCTGACATATCATTGATGATCAAACAACTTACAGGAAACAAAATGCATGTTCCAAGCAACGTAGAGATCATTCCATGTACTGCCTTGAGGCTCAAGCAGAGCCATCATAGATTGGGTCCTTCCTGCCAGCAAGGGATAGGAAGCCAGTAGCCTACCAACTTCTGAATTGTCCATGAGTCCATTGCTCTTTTCAAGCCAGACAGCCTCCAATAAATTCAAACACTGAAGGTCTTTGATTTTCTCTAGCTGATTCTCAATGCCTGGTCCTTCAGAAGATCGAAAGCTCCGTACTAAAAGATTCAATTGTGCAAGGATGGACCTGTTCTTTATCCAAAGAAAGAATGGCCACTTCTCATACATCGGGTCTTGTTCAGGGAGGCCAAGCATCTCTTGGAGCTCCACTGGAACTGTCTGAGTAGTCTCACATGAGTTTTCCCACTCAGCATCGTTTTGCAACTTTTGTTGCATGCTCTCAGGGTTATCCATCATGAAGGTTGTCACCCAATGAAGGACAAAGACTTGGTGTACAAGCTGAGAAAGGAAATCTGTCCTTTCATCAATCAAAATCCAGTCTGGATTCTCACTGAGAGTCTTGGCAAGCTGGCAGATGGTTGGGTGCTTGTCTTCAAGATGCTTCATGATTTGGGAGCACATGGCTTGCATTGCAGGAGTTGTTTTGATGGCTTTGGACCAAGCTTCATCAATGGCAGGGACCCCAGAAAGATGAAGCTCAGAGAAATATTCGTCCAACTTGTTGGGGTCGCACTCTACAGAATGAACAGCTTCAACAGCTTTGCTGGGGAGGGCATTCGTTCCACTTAGGTCAAGATCAGGAAGATCAAGCTCGCGCAGAGTGCCAAGATCAAGAGATCCAAATGGTAGTGTCATTGATCTCCTCCTGGATCACCATCGCACCTCCCTCACCAAGTACCTTTGCAATTGGCACCCCATCGGTAAACGTGTCAACAAATACCACCCCAAATATCCCATTGCATGCGCATCCTGTGGTGCCCCAGAAGAAAACAGAGAACACGTCCTGAGATGCCCCAAGCGACAATCAGAACGAACGGCATGGAAGAAGGCACTCAAGCAATACACCGACAAGCACAACACTCACCCAATGCTACAAACACTTCTTCTCTCAGCACTCCAAAAAGTACTCGATGGAGAAGATACCACAGGAATTGAATACGATGACAGTGTTCCGATATCGCAAACGCCCAAGCAGCCATCGGTTGGGATCAGCTCCTCAAGGGACGACTATCAAACAGTGGGCGCAACGCCAGGAACAACACCTTAAGGAATGCAATCTCAAAACACATCGGAAAAATGGCCAAACTGGCTCACAGGGATTATTCAAGAATTGCTCAACCAGTGGTTCGAACTCTGGGAGGCCAGGAATCATGATCGGCATGGCAAAGACGCACAAACCAAAGCACAAGCAGCCAACCGACAGGTTATCATGAACTTCAGCTGCTATATGACAAATACACCGGAAACCTCAGAACGGAACAGGCATGGCTTCTCCAAAAACCAATCAACACAAGATCCCAATGGCCCACGGCATCAATCCGACAAGGATCAACACTTGGGAACCAGTCCTTGAAGAGAGTTACCCACACAGCTTGAGACTGGGAATTGATGCAGGACCTCCACTTCCCATCCTTCCAATTTCCTCCTGCGTCCGCTTCCGTCCCTCCTTTTCTCCCTCCATACAACCACCAAGTAACTCTCCCTGAATCCATCGGCCAAACCCACAAATCAGTTAGGAATATGTCCGGCAAATCCACACGAGATATGCCATTATACTTACATGTAACTTTAAATGCACCATCTCCCCTAGGGAGTGTGGTGCCGGTGAGGGACCAGTGGTGGTCTCCTGTGAAACCAATCCCCGCTTCGGCGGGAGCGGTTACCCAAAGCTTCGGCTGCAGCACAGTGATGTCCGTCCATTAGGGCCATATCCGTATAAAGATTTTGTTGTTTTTTTTTTGATCTCCTCCTGATTTCACGTTGGGTTCCTTCTGACAAATAGAACTCACTGCTTGTAACACCCTTCATTGCAAAGCTGTGCTCAAGGAAAGAGCTCTTCTCGAAAGGTGATTCATTTGCCTGGAAAATTGAGATGTTCGTCTGTCGTAGGAATCTGAGCAGAACAGAAGATTCCTTCCAATCGCCAGCAATAGTGGTCTGCCTGATCTCGCTCCTCTTCAGCTTGCCAGAGGTGGTCTTTGGTGTTGCACCCAACTTCAGAACAACAACATCAGAGACAAGGAGCCCATGCATGAGATACATGATTGGATATCTGAACAGCCAAATCTTCATTTGCTGACTTGTCAAAGTCCTTACGGCCCTCCACTGTGATACCGACACTGTCCTCCCCATGTTGGAAGCAGTGGTCCTGCCTGGGCGGATGACATCACCAAAGAGATCATCAATAGTGAGCTCCACATCAGTTGGATAGTAGTTCTTTCCATTGATAATGATGACATCCTTGACCCTCCCAGTAACGTAGAGCTGTCCATCAACAACCTTGCCCAAGTCACCAGTATCAAGCCAGTTCCATCATAGCCTGGAAGATTTTGCAAAGGTAGAGGCGTAGTTGTCCAAGTACCAGCAGCACACGGGGCGACTGGGCCCAGATACTCCCAACCTGTCCATCCTCAACCTCTTTGCCATCCTGGACAATTCGGAGCTTGAGGGTTGGGGAGTCAACTTCTCCACAGCAGACAAGCCCCTCAGAGTCAGGGTATGCAGAGCCAGCAGTGAGGAACACGACAGATTCAGCAAGTCCATAGATGTTGTATACATGCTCTGGTTTATGGAGAGGGTCTTTGCTGCGCTTCCACATGATCTTGGGCGGTTCCCGCCAAACATGGCTCGCTTCACGCAACTCCAGTTGGCAGTTCGATTGGCCTGCTCCAAACGTTTCAGGAGCAGGCATAGGCAAAGTTTGGGGCACAGGTAAGGTTTGCCTGATAGTGCTCCACCATGTCAGTCCAAAGCAGTGGATTGACCACAAAATCCAGCGGTGATGCCATGACAAGTGAAGTTCCAGCAAAGAGGGTAGTCATGAAGCCTGCCACAAGTCCCATGTCTGTCCCAGCAAAAGGAACATACAAAAGTGGGAGGATTGTGGCTTTTAAAAATTCAGTATTGGAACAACAAATTTGAGCTTACCATGGTATTGTGGGACCCACAAGGCTGCCAGTGTAGAGCCAGCATTGGAAGCATTTACACCAGACATGGCAGAAATAGCAATGCAATTTTCTGCAAGATTTTTGTGACTGATCATGACTCCTTTGGGGCGACCAGTACTGCCCGGAGTGTACTGGATGAAGCAAATGTCTTCTGGTTCTCCGCAAAGGTCTCATAATCTTTTGGCTTGCTGGGGTTCCGTTTCTTGATTGTTAGCTTGTCGGTCCCAATCCAAGTGACACCAGTCTTGTAGAGGACCCTAGCAGCAGTCATCCCAGCAGCAAACGTGTTTGATGTGAGAGCATACTTGGCTCCGGCATCCTCAGCAAATCTACGGAACTTTGGCATATCTGTTTTGAGCTGATTGGGGTTGGGCGGATAGATGGAACATGGAATAACTCCAATCTTCATGGCTCCAAACATGCCAGCCAAGAACTCAAGACCAAATGGATAGGCCACCATGACACGGTCTCCCTTTTGGCATCCAAGCTTCAGAAGACGAGCAGCAACAGCATTGGATTGTTCCTCCAACTCTTTGAATGTCATCTTGTTTTGTTCCTCACATTTGATGTTGAGCCAAGTATAGACGACCTTGTTGGGTGTTTCCATGGCATGGTGGTTGAGGGCTTGGAGGATAGTCGAGGAGAACTTCATGGTTTTGATGTAGTGGACTGCTTCCTTGATTGGCGTTGTCTGTTTTTGTTTTGAAAATATGGTTGGGAAGACTGCTATGGTATCAACGCAGTGGAATCGGGAGCTGAGGCTGTAGCTGAAGCTGTAGCTGAAACTGAAGCGGAGCCTGAGGCGGAGAGCAATTGTGGATGTCGCTTGATTTTTCTTTATGGGGTTGAAGAAGGCTGTCGAGAAAGCAGAGGCTGAAGCTGGAATTGGAGCTGAAACTGAAGCGGGTGCTTTTGATCGAAGCACTTTGTATGGATAATACTTGGTACCAGGTATTCAAGGCCTTCGAGACACAGTTAGACAGGTTGCCAAGTTTGCGGCAATAAGTATGTGATAGTCTTCGCATCAATGCTTCCGTGTTGCCTTTGCTGGCAACCGAAACGTACTCTACTTCCATAGTCTGACCGTAACAGCAACAAGCTTTTATTTCCGGAATGAACTAGTAAGAGCCACCCTATCATGGGCATCCTAGAAGCATTTAAATCTTTTAATCAATGTACTCGGAGGAATGCACTGACGTAAATGCTATCATCATTCGTTCCGAGTAATCCTACTCTTTTACTATAATAATACATGTACGATACATTTAGAGCGCAACTAAACAAAGTAAAATGTGTTTCACCATCACGCAGATTTTGACTCTCTGAAACAGTAGGAGCTCTCTCGAACAGATCCAGGCAGGAAAAGGGAAAGAGCTCCACTTTTTTAAAAAAGCAGGATTTCACGGGAAAAGTGGCTGTGCCGAGGTATAGGGCTAGCTAGAGGTATTGAAGACGAGCATGGAGTCAAGTTTTCGCAAAGCCACCAAGTTAGCATGCATGCATCCTTGACGCACTACAGCGTAGCAGGCTAGCTATCTCCATCCTGCGAGTCTGCTTCTGAGTCTCCCCCATGCATGCAGTCCTCAGTGCACGGATTGAATCGAATCGAGCTGTTGGCTACAAGACAAGACAAGACAAGACAAGACAAGAGAACTGAAACCAAACCATGGCTCACCGCGGTCCACCAATGATTTAATTCTGCCAAATGCAGCTGCATCGCAGAGATAGGTACCGGTAGCTAGAGAGAGAGAGAGAGCTGAGCGAAGAAAGGAGGTCGTCAAGGTTGCCTTCAGGCAGCCTTGGAAGAATCGAATGAGTCAACTCGATCACTCCCAATTCGATTCCATTCCCCGCGAGCGCCTGGCTCAGTGGATGAAGAACGCATGAATCAGAATTGAATCGAATATATAAGGGGGTTTTAGAGTAGGGAAATTATCTATGGAAGCCAGCCGGGGCCAGACTTAAGCAAAGAACAGTCGAAATTCAGGACTAGGTTCTGTGGGATCAGGGGCAAGAAATTGAGGACCATTACGGGGGGCAAAGGGTTTGGCTTTGCGGGATGAATCGAATCGAATCAAATCAAAGCGAGAATACACTTCACGATGTTCGACTTCGGACCAAAACCTCGCGACAGTAGGAAGAAGGCGTCAAGGAATCCGAGGAGGCTCACAGTAAAGCTTGGGCTTGCAAAGGCCAGCAAGAAGTCCGGGACAGGGCATGCTGCAGTGCAGAGATCTGCACGCACCCCGAAGGGCCCTAGCTTGTAGTCTACGGTAGGGAATAACGTGACAGGTACGACTGGGCCCAGTCCCCAAAGCTTCGGAGAACGATGAGTGAGGTCCATAATACGGAGATGGTCTCCGGTCGGAGGAGCTCTACGCATTCTCAGCTTCTCGTTGGTCGCCCTCTTCCAAGCTGATCCTCCACAACTTCCTCCTTCTCAAAGCTGGCAAAGATCGTACTGTACTAATACTGCTTTGCCGTGCTCTTTTACCCTCTTGCGAAATCTCAAAAGACGAACGAGCTCTTGGTTCTTGTTGAAAATACCCAACTTGTCCCTTCTCCGTTTCGTTGACAGTGTCGTATTCGTCCAGGCACCCATCTGGTCCCGCTGTTGTTACCGACGTCGTCGTCGATCTCGTCGTGCTCGACACCGCCATCGTGGCATGAGTCGTCGCTCGATCGTACCGTAGCGTACCGGTAGCGTGCTCGCATAATACGATAATGCCTCGGCACTGTAGCTAGCATTTCTCTACTCGAAACGACAACAATTTCGGTCTCATCCTTGGAAGCAGTAAACAACCGACTCGACTCGACAAGAAGGCACCCGACACCATGGATGAGCCAATTCCTGTCCCCGCAGAGCCCCCTTTTGCTTGTCCCCAATGATACCTACTAGTACTTACTTTAGTACTTACTTTGGATGTCAACGACGCCTGTCACGGCATCACAGTAGAGCCAATTTTTCACGGTTCGAGCCCGCCGGAACCACGACGACGCTCAGAGCCCAATTCCCACCCATGCTCCAACATCAACAACAAGAAAGTCGCCCACACATCGCCGCCATCTTTGGTTGCTGACTCGCTCCTGTGTCCTCGCGGTGGAGGAAGTCGTTGTCCTACCATGGCACTGCCAAACATTTGCCACGACGGAGAGACAATGTTGCCACTTACCGATGCATACATATCGCCACCTCTGGTTGACAATGAAGGAAAGCCGACAACTCTCGCGAAAGACCAGTTGCAACCTGGCATCTTTTTTGCCGCCACTGACAGCATGAAAGAGCTCTCCGGCGTGGAACCGCGGAACTATCTTTCGATAGCGACTACACGGACGAGAATAAACAAAGAGGAGATCGCCTACTAGTAGTACAAACCACCACACCTCTCGCTAGCTTGTCATCAATGCATGTGTCCGGTACGTCGTCCACTACGGAGTTTGTCCACTCCTTTGAAGACGTCATGCGAAACAAGGGGAGACCCAGCTGACACTTCAGCGCACTTCCGCAGTCCCACTCCTCTACAGTCGGAATGACCACGACGAGTCGCCTAGCTACATGTACCGGTACGGAACTCCTTCGGCAAATGCACCGCTCGTCCTCAAATCCAAAATCAAGCATGTCACGACTGGCACTCACAAGGACAACACGAGAAGCAGATGAAGAGCCGCAAACCAAGCCAAGCGAGAGGGGAGGGGAGTGGCATGCTGCACTCGTGCATTCAATGATGGAATGAACAGCAGTCTTCACGGCCGTACCATGCCAACCTGTTTTCGATCCAATACTTCGTGCCGACGATCTGGAGAGTCCTGTCTTCAGCTGTCAGCTATCGTGCGGGGCTGGTCCCACGGACGAGGATTGAATGGATGATTTTCTTGAGAACGATGCTGCTTGCGCCTTCACCATGCATTCAGAAGCATCCACGATAACCAGTCCAGCCGGTGATGAATGAATGACAACCTCAACCAAAGCTTAAACAAGGGCGCACCTGGCTAGCCAGCTACAATCTGCAGCAGTATTTATTGGTGCGGGAAGCCTGCTCGGTGGATTGGAGGGTGGCCAACCATCAAGACTCACTCCGTTTTCCTATAATGCGCAACTTGTGCAACTTTGATATCCGAACCGTAAAACGTGCGTTGCTACTAAGAGGAAATATCTCAGGTGCACCGGTCCCGGTATACTGGTACCTGGTACTTCTTTATACTTTATTGTTACGGCGTCCGTTTTGGCTCTGCTAGCTAGCCTGTAATAGTGCGTGCTGTCGTCAATGCCTGCCATTGGTCCTGTAGGGTCTATTGATGCATTTGCCCTTCTCAGTCAGTCAATCGTGTACCGACAAATGAGAACGACCTGTATGCCCAGTTTGCTCTTCACCCTTGGCTGGGTTGCTACCGGTTCTGGTTCCTCCCGCTCCTGAAACAAAAAGACAAGGAGTATAAATTACAAATCAGAAGACCACAGCTGCTGCAAAACCCATCAAAGAAACTGGCTACGCGTTTACCAACTGGCCAGCTACTGGTACCACTGTAGAGGCTATCGTACCGTACGGTACCACGCAGCGCTGAGGTTGTTTCGGATTTGAAAGGCGAACCGAACTCCCTCGATTGAATTGTACAGGGCCATACCAGCATCGGTGGGGGCTCGCGTGGTGAATTCACAGCAACGGAACCACGCGATCACCCCAAGCAACTCTCGACCGCGAGCGGAATACTGTCGTTCCTCCTCACACACAAATACAGATGAAGCACAGCAAATTTTTAAAAGGCAAACGAAACAAGAAGCAAAAAGAAGAAAACGTGGCAATGAAGTGTTTCTCAACCATACTCGAAGCCCTAAACCACCATGCCTTGGCGACACCCAACAGGGTTGTCTTTACCTGGGTCAACATCAAGTGTGAGGAACAAAACAAGATGACATTCAAGCAGCTCGAGGATCAATCCAATGCTGTGGCTGCTCGTCTCCTAAAGCTTGGATGCCAAAAGGGTGACCGAGTCATGGTGGTGTATCCATTCGGTCTGGAGTTTTTGGCTGGTATGTTTGGTGCCATGAAAATTGGAGTCATCCCCTGCTCCATTTATCCACCCAATCCAAACAAGCTCAAGACTGACATGCCAAAGTTCCGCAGATTTTCTGAGGATGCCGGAGCCAAATTTGCCATGTCTACCAGCGTGTTTGCTGCTGGCATGACTGCCGCTGGTGTCCTCTACAAGACAGGGGTCAAATGGATCGGGACCGACAAGCTAACAATCAAGCAACAAAACCCCAACACACCCCAACATTACGAGACCTACAATGGGGAGCCTGAGGATGTCTGTTTCATCCAGTACACCTCCGGAAGCACCGGTCGCCCCAAAGGAGTCATGGTCCGCCACCAAAACCTAGCAGAAAATTGCAGAACCATTGGCACTTCCACCCAGATGACTTCTACTTCGGTGACTGTATCATGGGTACCTCAATACCATGGTAAGTTTTGTAGAAACACACAAATGATGCTTGTTACCATATGCCCTTTTAGAAGTTGATGCTTAACCTTTCACTCAATCTTGCAGATATGGGACTTGTGGGTGGTTTCATGTCCTGCCTGTATTCTTGTGTCCCCCTTGTAATGACGTCACCTCTGGACTTCCTATCGAAACCAATTCTTTGGTCTGATATGATTGAGATATATCAGGCAACCCATACCTGTGCCCCTAACTTTGCCTACGCCTTGCTCCTAAAGCGATTAAAGAATGCCAACCGGAAAGCTGACTGGAGTTGCTTGGAGTTTGCTGGGTTTAGTGCTGAACCTACCCAGCAAAGTGTTGTGGAGGATGTGGTAAAGACTCTATCAGTTAGGCCAGGAAATGTTCACAACCTCTATGGCCTTGCAGAGTCAGTTGTGTGGCTTACAGGTGGACCTGCTATCCCAGACTCAGAAGGTCTTGTCTGCTGTGGAGAAGTAGACTCCCCAACCCTCAAGCTCCGAATTGTCCAGGATGGAAAAGAGGTTGAGGATGGACAGGTTGGGAGTATCTGGGCTCAATCACCACGTGTGGCTGCCGGGTACTATGGCCAACCTGAGCTTACAACCTCCACCTTTGCCAATGCTTTGCCCAATTATGATGGAAGCTGGCTTGACACTGGTGATTTGGGAAAGGTTGTTGATGGACAGCTTTACGTTACTGGAAGAGTCAAGGATATTATCATTATTAATGGCAGGAACTACTACCCAACAGATGTGGAATCATCTATTGATGGTGTCTTTGGTGATGTTGTCCGCCCAGGCAGGACCGCTGCCTTCCAGCATGGGGAAGACAGTGTTGGAGTCACAGTGGAGGGCCGGAAGGAATTTGTCAAGTCAGCAAATGAAGATTTGGCTGTGCAGATATCCAATCATGTATCTCAAATGCATGGGCTTCTTGTCTCTGATGTTGTTGTTCTGAAGTTGGGAGTAACACCCAAGACCACCTCTGGCAAGCTGAAGAGGAATGAGATCAAGCAGACAACAGTTAACGGTGATTGGAAGGCATCTGATGTGCTCCATAGATTCCAACTTGAGCACAACATTTCATTGCAGGGGGGTACAAGCAGTGATTTCCATTTGTCAGAAGGGAGTCAAGATGAAATCGTGAGAAGATCAACGACACTACCATTTGGAGGGAGTGTGCCCAAACTCCAGCTTCATGAAAATGACTTTAGCGAACCTGCAAACTCTGATATCAAGGCTTCTATATCTGGTGCTGGAGCTACAGACCAAGATGACTTTTCCATCAGATATGCCAATGTAATCATGTCTGTCTTTGGATCACATATTGACACATCCAAGTCTTGGGCTGAGAATGGACTCACATCCCTCAGGAGTGCTGAGCTTAGGATCAAAGTGGAAGAGGAGCTGCATGTGGTACTCCCTGCTAACTTTGAGCAATTTTACCCAACCCCCAAGGTGCTATCAGTCCACCTGTCAGCATCAGAGGGCAAGAGATTTCCCAAGCAAAATGCTGACTACAGCCCAACTCCTGGATTCATTGGTATATCATCAAGATCCAGAATAAGCAAGCTCCAGATGGGTGTGCTCCAAACTCTTGGTTCAAGTGTGATTCTTCTATTGGTTTTTGTGTCAGTTGTTCCATCCTATTCCCTTGTGTCCTGGGTTCTGGAAAAGTGCTCTTCAACCCAGGGTGGGGAGAATCACTGCCCAGTCTTCTGGATTTGTTTGCCCCTATCCTTCCCTCTGTACTTTCTCTCTCTTTCAGTAGCTGTCATTCTCTGCAAGATTGCTGTTGTTGGGAGGTACAGACACCAACAATTTGATCTCTTGTCATGCAACTACATCCAGTGGTGGTTAATGGACAGGCTCATGGATGTTTGGGAGTCACTGGTTGGGCACTTCTTTGTTAACACAAGGTTCATTTGGATCTTCTACTGGCTGCTTGGTGCTGACCTGGCTTGGACTGCCAAGATTGAATCCTACATCCGAGAATTTGATCTCATCAATGTTGGCAGTAATGCTACTATTGGTCACTCTCTCAAGTGCCGGAAGTTCTCTTACTCAGGTACTGCAGGAGGAAGCCCTAAGATGACTTTCCGTCCAATTGCTGTTGGAGCGAATTGCACAATCTCTGGCATGATCTGTCCTGGGGCAAAGATTGGAGATGGCAGCAAGGTGGAGACACTGTCTGTTGTTGAAGAGGGAGCCATTGTTCCTGAGGGCGTCCTTGCCCAAGGAAAACCAGCCTATAATGCTGGCTCATTCAGGCATACAGAATCAATTGATGTGGAGGAGTCGATGCTGGATGTCTTCAAGATGCTTTGGGCAATATTTGAGGCATACCATCTTTTCACACTTGCCTTTGTTGGTAGCAATGTGCTGCATGAAATCTTGCCTTCATGGCGGTATGGAGGTATTCTTCATTGGATCCTGCTGTTGCCATTTACTTCCATCCTGGCACTTTGCTCCAGCATTGCCCTCAAGTGGCTTCTGATTGGAAAACGGGACCCATCAGATGAGTACGAGGGTTCACTCTACAACCAGGCAACTAACTGGGCATGTGACTTCCACTTCCATGCAGCTGGTTTTGCTCTTGCTCCTTTCTGCGGTGCATCCAAAATCTGGAACATAATCTTCTTCCTCCATGGCCTTGACATTGACTTGGAGTCACGCATAAATGGTCTCTATGCACATTTCCAACCCTCAAAGGTTGATTTTGTGAAGATCCAGAAGTCTTTTGCCTCGGCCATCTCGCTAGACTTGAGCAAGCAAGGAGGCGGCAAAATTGAGATCATCAACAGCAGTGTTGGCTACAATGCCAATCTTCATTCCGGTATCAAAATTATGCAATCTACAATTCCTCCAAGGTCAGATGTGTCTGAAAGTGTTTATGACTTGAACCAACAATCAAGCCATGGTTTGTCCAAGCCCAGTCTTATTGTCACACTACATGCAGAGCTGCTACAGGTTTTGCTGAATGTGATTCTTTTTGCCTCCATTATACCATCCTACGAGATTGGTCTTGTTGCTACAACAAGTTCATCATCTGGCATTGCTGCACTTGGGTTGGGCACAGCTTTTGTGCTCCAATGGTTTGTTTGGATACAGTTGACAAGAGCTGTTGAGGGCATACTCTTCAAGTTGCCAAACCATATTCAGCTCAGTTGTTTTGGAGTTTACATTAATGCTGTATGGGTCTTTCGTGTTGGCAATTTGCTGGAGAAGCTCCTGTATGGAACTCCAATGTTTGGCCACTATGCAAAGTTAATGGGTGCTGAAGTCACCGGGGACCTCTGGTACTTTGGTGATGAACTATATGAGTATGGTAAACTACACTTCAAAGGAGATGTACTTGTGGACTGTTCCCATTTGAGTGGACACTATGTTGATGGAAAGGGGCTGACCTTGGAAGACACTCATGTCTCTGGCGTTCTTCACCCTGGATGCTATGCTTCTGCTGGATCATTGGTATCTGCTGCCGAACACGGTCCATGGAAAGTGTTTTTAAGAAGTGATATGTGTGTCCAGGATTCATCGAAGCTGCCAAGTGATTCAACCTCCAACAATGTTTGATACATCTGACTTCGTGTAATCACCACTATTCACGAAGCAGTTGCACACATAAGCGGATGAGAAAGCCTTGAAAGCCTGGAAAGTGACAAACACCACTACAGCTATGCGAAGAGATAGTTCAGAATTTTAAAAGCAATATAGTTCTAATAAAAGTTTTCATTCTTTTCTTGGGTGCAAATAGTATCTGGAGCAAAGCCATCATTTCCAAGTTTATTGACGACATTGGGAAACAATTAAAAAACTCAACCTGACGCAACGCCATATGCAATTTGATGCCAGTCATCACACCACCACAAAACCGTGCCTTAACCCATGTCCTGCATGTTTGATCTCGTATCACGTCCTGATAACTTGCATATATAGTTACGCCCATGCAGACGACCCTGTGCCTTGTGGCATATCCGATGATCATCCCTTGATTGTGGTGCCCACACCACCACCACCACCACAGCAGCAGCAGCAGCAGTAGCCACGAATTGAACCAACTCAAACCATGCAAGACTACAAATGATGCAAGGCATCCGAATTAAAAGACGGAATGAAATTTACAATCCGTTGTGATGAAACGTTTCTTGGTACCATGTCCGTCTTCAACCAACTTTAGCCGTCTTTAACCTCGGAATGAAATTTACAGTCCGTTGTGATGAAACCTTTCTTGGCACCATGTCCGTCTTCAACCAACTTTAGCCGTCTTTAACCTCGGCAGTCTTGCTGCCAGAGCCCTCAACCCCTTTAATTGTTTTTCCTGCTACGATGGTCCCTGCAGGTATAAGGGTAGGGTTAGAATAGAAATAAGTCAGCAAAAACTTAATAAGTATCCTAGGATGATGCTTTTAAACCAGCTAAAGCTATTCACATGCATGGAAAACTTCTAAAGCCAGCAAAAGCTATATAACTAGTATTCTAGCTAGCTAGGGGTATCTGCTTCTAGCTTGCTATGGGAATCTGCTTCTAGCTAGGGGGAATCTGCTTCTAGCTAGCTAAGTGCAAATTAAGCACTAGCTAAGTACTAGAGGTATCTGCTTCTAGCTAGCTAGCTATAGGGATATCTGCTTCTACACAGAAACCTTTCTGCCGAGGTTACACAGCGGAGCTGGCTTATTTGAGGCTGCGCATGCTTTCAGTTCGTGGTGTACTGGACCGTTCGACGGTTTTCATTCAGGCTTTAAAAACGGACACGACTGACTCAGAAGTGTAAGGGATTGTTTAAGGGATTGTTTGTTAAGGGATTGTTTAAGGGATTGTTGCAGATTTAAAGGATTGTTGGTTAAGGGATTGTTTGATAAGGGATTGTTTTAGGGATAGTTGAAGCAATAAGGGATAGTTGTATGGTGTTTCCATTTGGCGTTAAGGGATTGTTTAAGGGATAGTCCAATATTTAAGGGATTGATGTTAAGGGATTGTTTTTTAAGGGATTGTTTAAGGGATTGTTGATGAGTTAAGGGATTGTTTAAGGGATTGTTTAAAAACGGTTATCAGTCGTGGCAATTTCCAGTTTTTTAAATCCTGATTGAAAACCGTCGGACGGTCCTGAACTTTCAGGCTCAGTCAGTGCAGCTATCAAGAGCAGTCAACACCCGGGCATGCAAATCTCATTTAAAATGGAATTTGCCCAAAACCCAGTCAGCGCCCAGGACTCAAATTTGATTCAAATCACAAATGACGTCAAGCTTTCTGGATTTGATTTGCCTCACCTGTGATGGCAAGGCAAATTGGACCTGTTTGCTCTCCACCCAAATGGCAACCCAAACGTCTGTCGTGCCATCCATTGGCATGTATCCAATGAGTCGTCCAATGTGAATCCAATGGGTATCCAACCAAGATGGTCGGAAGCGTGTTGTTGTCATAGATGAGTCCACTGCAGCTTTGTCAAAACCAGAAAATAGGATTTCATATTGCTTGCCATTCACTAGCAAGTACTCAATCACAAGTAGGTTGTTGGGCTAACTGGTGCTCTCACGGCTTTGTTTCATCTGGCTCTCACAGTGTTGTTTCTTCTTTATTGCGCAAGTCTCGTCAAGATGGCCAAATCTGGCGGCATTGATGCTGATGCACAGCTTCCTCCTCTTTCCACCAAGAGCACTCGAGGGCCTCGTTGGACTCCATATGAGTGTCTTCTCTTGAGCGAAGCCTTTGTTGCAGCCAGTGAGGACAGCATTAAAAAAAAATGAATGTCTAATAACGGATTCAGACGAGATGTGCTTGAGGACTACCCACGAGCTAAGGCCCGGGTATTTCCCACAGTCAAGTCTGCTCACCGGCCACACTGGCCTCCTGAGAGGGTGCGACGCCTGTTAGCTATCTAAGGATTTGTATACTGAGGTCGGAGCCATGATTCACCACAAATCACGAGCTCTTTGTTGAAGAGAGTTGGGGTTGGTAAAGAAGGTTGAGGGGGTAGGAGGGGTAAGGAAAAAGGGATAGTAGGAATGTCCGACTATCCTGTTTCCAGGGCGGTGGTGTAGTGACTCTCTTGTAACACAGGTTCCTATGTGTTCAAAAATTGAATAATGACTGGTGTATTCAGTTGTCGAGTGGTATCTGGAATAGCCATTCCAAATGTTCGGGGACTTCTTGCTGGTATGCTTCGTCGAACTGAGTGAGTTGTCGGATTGCTTGTGCTTTCTTTGCTTGTGACTTGGTTCTCATGTCGTGCCCATGTCTGTCTTGGTTGCGCATGTCCCAGAGTTTCCACCATTCTTTATAGATAATGTCAATGAGTCCAGTGAGCCATGTGAGTCCATTGTTGCGTTTGGTTGCGGTCTTTTTCATGTTCAAATATCGGTCTTGTTTCTGACTGAATTGTTTAGAGATTCTCCCCTTTAACAGATGATGCCATCCAATGGCATCTTGTGCTTGTTTCAGTGTGTCCCATGAAGGATCTTCTTGGATTGTTGTTGGGTTTTGGTGATGTAAACATACTTTGAGGCCTGATAGGAGAAGCCCCTGGATTTTTGGAGAGGTGTCCTTTTTCTGGACAAATGCTAGGACTGCACTGTAGCATTTCTCGCACCATTTGATTCTTTCAGGGCTGCTGCATTCCATCAGATGGTGCCTTGTTTCTGAAGGGTTGTTGCATGATGGGCATCCTGCATAATACTTGGGGTTTGTTTTATGGAGGAATGCTCCGACAGGTAGGACTTTGTTGAGGTATTTGACCATTGTTGGACGATGATTATCGTGTCTTCGCAAAGCTCTTCCATGTGCGGTCCAGTCAATGTCATTGAATGTGTCTTCTGACCAGTTGTAGTCTTTCATCAATTTCTGTTTGAGCAGTGGGTAGGTTCTGGCATGTTTCAGCTCTTGTTTGAGATTGAATGTGACTGTTCCTTGTTTCAGTTCAACTTGGCATCCACTGGTGGGTAAGATGGGAACTCTGGTGAAGTCGGTGTCCGAGTGAGCTTGGAGCCATGTGTCGGCTAGCTTATCGGCATCTACATTCAGCTGAGCTTTCAGCGGGAGTTGGTCATATGGTTTGTTGTCGTCTTGATGTCCCTTTATGTGATGGATTGAGGGCCTGGATGCTTCGTCGAGGTCTTCTAACATTGTGTGTCTGATTTCTGCAATGATGTCCCACTCAGAGCCCAGTGTGGTGTTGGGGTATATTTTGTGAAATGATGTGTGCTTGGTGACTACTTCTCCGATGCTTTTGTTGTCACAGAGGTGCTCATGCTTGGTGAGAATCTCTTGTTTGTTGGGTGAATGAATCTTTTGGAGCTGTGCTAAGAATATCCTTCTGCTCTGTAGGAGTTGATTTTGTAACCGAAGGCTGGTCCACAGCAGCGGGCTAGGCGTGTGCCATCATGTTTGCTAATGATCCATGCAAATGAGCCTTTGGGGTTGGGTGATGAGCCGTCACTGGATATGATACATGGTTCGTTGCAGAGGGTTTCCCATAGTTCTGTCTCCTCGACTAAAAGCTCAAGGTGTTCCAGCATTTTTCTCTCCCATTCTTCAAGGTGTGGAATGGCTTCCATAATTGTTGTTGGCTGTGTCGACTCTTGTGGGGCTGGTATGGATTTCCATCCTTCAAGGAACCATAGGTCCTGGTGCTCATCAACGGTGGCTGGGGTTGCTGATAGAGGTAGGGAAGTTACTGTGTCATTTCTGTGTGTATCGTAGCTGTGGAATAATTGTGCATGCTTGCTGAATTTGTTGTCCATTGTTCTTTTGTAGATGTGGTTGGATTCTGGATCATAATAATGTGTCCATATTCTTCTCTGTTCTGCTAGTGGTACAGTCCAGGCTCCAAGTGGTTTGTTGAGGTTCAGGTTTCTCCAATTACAGAGTAAGTTGAGGGCTTGTTTCCATGCTTTCCATGCTTTTGCATTGGGTCGTTCTTGGTTAACTGGAATGTCATCTGTCTGACTGACAATGTTTTTGAGATCTCCTGAGTGCATAGCTTTGTCGATCTTCGTTCCGCAGGCTGTTGTTATGTCCGATAGCAGAGTAACATTGAGAAACATCCTGCAGTAATTGATTCGCTTGAGTGCTGTCTTTTTGAATTTTCCAGATTGGAGTACCAAATCCATTATGAAGATATCATTTTGTCGTTGGGGCTTGGGAGTGTATGGGTTGGCAAGTTTGATGGTCGCGTCAATTGTTTTCAGATAGTCTCTCATGGAGGAGATCCATTTGGATTCTAAATGGTGGAATGTGGTGGTTGTGTCTTCAAGAATTGGGGTTGATGTGCCACAGCAGAATTGTGCCCATGCCATTGCTATGTGCAACATGAGTCCTGGTTGGGAGTGTGGTGATTTCCAGAACTTTGTGAATGTCCTGACTTGTCCGTATCCTTGGTCATCAAAAAGGTGGAACAGGCCTGCTCCGCCTAGGAAGAGTGGTCCATACAAAACATCAAGGGAAGTCTTCCTGCTGTATCCCATTTTGGCAGTCATGGCTTGGTGTGATTGGGCTTGGATTTTGTTGAGTTCCTTGAAGGTAAAGTGGCACATTGGTAGGGCATAGCCCACACTGAGTTTGTAGATGGCCCAGTACATGCACTTGGCTTCTGTTCTGGTGAGTGAGCATGTGTTAACTATTCTTGCGAATTCATCACACTTCGCCTTCAGCACTGCCTTTTGTTTTTGTTGGTCTGCAGGGCATTTGTGACATCCCAGGTATTTTGTTGCTTTGTTGTTCTCCCACTGGGTGATGGTTAGGGGTTGATTGTTAGAGTTTTTGACACTGAGGTGAGATGTTGGTTTTGTGATGAGTTCAGGTTCTCCTTCTTCGGTGAAATTATACTCAATGGCATGGTATCCACATTTGGGTAGCTCTAGGGCTTGATTGCATGTTTCCAGTAGGTTCGGACAGCATCAGTGGATCTGACATGACATCGCCAGATTTCCAGCAGAAAGTCTTCGACAAGTACAAGTTGCTTGTTCAAAGATACAACACAGCACATGGTACCAGCTATCTCTTTCGCAAGCCCGCATCCAACTTCAATCAATTCAAGAAGATCTAAGAGTGTAGAAGATAATGCTGGGGACCCTCCTACAGGCGACAATGATGGCCAAGTGTGACATGCCAAAGTGCAAAGTACATTCTTGAAATGGCATGGAAAGGAATGTGGTTCTGGCATGATGGATTGCATCCTTTATTGCAAGGATTTTCTCAAGGCGAGTCCAAAATGGGCTGACTTCGAGGCGAAGCTTGCAGAAAAGAACACTCACAGGAGGAAGACGGAACATCCATCTGGAAATAAGAAAGCCAAGCAGCAAAAGTGAGATGAAGAAACAGTGAAGAAGGTTCTTGATTTGACCGGTACTTCCGAGGACGACAAAAACCGGCATCGAGACATGAAAGAAGCCCTCATAGCCAAGATGGGCAGTGGTTTGGACGTTTTGACTAGTTGCATGGTTGACAGAAATGAGCAGCAACTATTGAATTATTGTTCTCCGGACACTCACAATTTACTAGAACAGCGAGAGTTGAAGAAAAGAATCGAGATCAGTGTTTGGCCACTGAAGCATTCCCTGACATTTCCATTGAAATGGTGGTGCCATCTGAAGTGGCGCTGAAGGATGCAAGCCCAACAGACATGCGAATTTCCATGAGCGCCAACAACGAGTTAAACAAGAAGAAGTCTCCACTCTCTCATCCGAAGGAAATGGTGTTGGAGAGGACAAGGATGATGAAGATCTCTACAGTTGAGGTAGTGCGCATGGTAACACGATACTACTAGTAATTACTTTTTAGCAACAGCATCCATGATGGAGCTTCGCAAGCTCTTTATTGCTTGTACAAGTCGTCCCACTCGCTTTCCAGCAACTCGAAATAATCGTTGATGGCATTACGTACTGCTACTGTCCTCTCTTGGTTACCAGAACCACTCTGTGGCCACCTTGACTCAATTGCAACAAGTCGCTCGAAGGGAAGTGTAGTTCTTGGGGGAACAACGTCTTCATTACTTGCCAATGGAAAACTCTCATTCTCTTCCTGAACATCGTACCAGTCAGAGCTTTCTTGTTGGTCTCTCAAAATCCTAACTTCAACCATCATATTATGGAGAATAAGCGCTGCCTCTACAATCATGCGAATGTCCTCTTCAAAGAACAGTTCCACGAGGCGACACAACCACTGAAATTTCCGATGTAAAACTCCAAAGTCACGCTCCACCATCTTCCTGCAGCTTTCCTGCCACATAGAATATTTCTTCTCTGCCCTGGACAATGGAACTGACAATGTCTTCACAAACCGAGAGAGTTCTGGATAGATCTCATCTACCATAAATCAAAGGCGAGTGAATTGTTTTCCATTAATAGTGAAGGGGAAATCCAAGTCTCTTGCAAACGTCCCATTCAACATCAATTTCAGCAATTGACTTCTATCTCAGATGTTGATATCATTGAGTGTTCCTGGCCAGCCAAACTGCGCATGCCAAATTCGAAGACTGTGATCAGAACGATACAAGGGTAGGTTCGCCTTCTTTCCCTTCATATTGCCCATGCCAAGCAACTGGACAATTCTTTCAGTGAACGTGCATGCAGTCAAGAGCTCCAAGACAACCGGCGACTCCAGTTTCATTTGATGTACCCCCCTTGCATCATACTGGGTCATGCGTCCAAGGTACTGCTCTTTGAATGGCGATTCCACAATTGCCTTGGACAGTTTCTGAAGACAACTTCTTCCAGTGTTATCGCTCATTTGGGAGTAGTCCATAAATGCTGTGGACGCTATTCCAAAAGCAAGTAGCTTCAATGCCAGAAGAACCTTGGCCTCTGGATAAATGCCCGGTTCACCGGTAACTTTGTTCCTGGAGTGGATGAAAAAGCTGCTGTGATTACTAGCGATTTGTAGCAATTGTTCTGTCATTCCCATTGTAATTCGAAAGACCCGTTGAAAGTACTTGCCAAAAAGTGGATCAGGACTAAGGTGGTCTTGCATAATACACTGGTAAGCTCTTTCATAGTCATACTTGACTGTCTTCTTCTTTGGCTGGTCTTCATCATCTTCTGATTGCCCCCGCTTTTGGATTCGGCGAACTACAGAAAGTGAATTTGTGATTGTCTTCACTGTATCATCATTCTTTGCTTCTTCTTCCTCATCCGAATCGTCCAAAGTACATAGCACTGAACCAGCCGCAGCAACTGCCATGAAGACCCCAGCTAGTATGTGGAGAGTGTAGTCAGCCATTAACACTGAGGAGTTTTGCTCAGTCTCTCACCCGTTTAATTGTGAAGCATTTATTTTTAGCCTTTTCTACGAAGGCTACACAAACTTGCGCAACTTAGACAAACACGCAGGAGTAAAATGTCGCATTGGCAAAACACAATACTACTATTTTACTATACGCCTGTACCATTGATTGTAAATATATTACATTATTCCTTTTTTATTATTGTGCCTTCAAAAACCTTCAGAGATGCGACATGTGTCAAGAACTATTGAAAAGTATACTATCACTATACGGATTTTACCAATGCATGATTCGAAATAAAGGCATATATCTTCAAGTGCGCTACTACTAATGTCTGTGCTGGAATCTAATGTCTTACTTGCATGACTCATCGCCACACAGAACACGAACCCTGCATAGAACAATTCGCTATACAAAGTACTGTACGAATCTACCCAAAAGATTAATCACATTGTAGGATTGTGCTTTGTCAACACGACAAAGTGCTCTATCTCGCTACTAGTAGCTAGCTAGCTACTTTATTACTTTTTTTATGCAGGTTTCCACCACTTTCTCTTTCTTTATCTCTAACCTTTTCCTTCCAATAAAATAAATTTATTACAAAATTCCATGTTCCTCAGTGGCTCCCCCTAGGGTCGTTATTTCGTCAGAGAACAGAAGCAGCGGCAGCACCTTATTGTCGACTTTTGTTGTTGTTTCGCTGTGTTGTGGGTTTGTTTAGCCAACAAATGTGCTCTCTAGTAGAAAAGATTTAAGATTGGTCTTTGTAGTGTTGACCGGTTTATTCTAGAGTAACTCCTTAATCAATTTGCGTCATCCGATGCCTCACTCATGAATTAACGAGTCTTTCCGGTATTGGTTTTATGTGATTTGGGTGACCACGGAGTTGAGTGCTCTCAGTGCTCAGTTCCTTTAATATGTCAATCTTTTCTGAATCCGAAAGGCTTAAACCTTCAACTTGTCTTTAACTACAGTCGTACTACTTAGTAGTACTTCTAAAGAAGTATAGTACGTACTTTATGCATAAATCCACAAAGGCCTGCATGAAACAGTCCCGTCAAAGGTGAAGCCTTCTATCATACTGTACTCCAGCACATCGGTTCATGAGGTACGTTAGGCGCCAGCCGGCTCTAAGAAAAGATTTAACTTCACACGAATGAACATAGGCTCGGCCGACTCCCAAACCACAGACAACAACAACACCTTTGAAAAGGAGTTCGACAAAAGGCGACAATGGAGAGGAAAACATGATGCTTGGAGCGTCAAATGAAGTGCTGAAAACACTCAGTGTCCTTCCAGACACAACAGGAAGAGTATACGACTGCTTTGTTTGCTGCATGAGATGATACTTTGGCCATGGTTGATGATTTTGCGTTCGTAAAGATATGAGGAAGCTGCCGCAATAATATTGCAGTTACCCTTCAGCGTGCCGGGCAGCTATGTCCAATCCGTGGGGTAATGAACCGATGTGCCAGCTCAGTAACTTATTCTAAGAATCCTATACTAGTCTAGTACTCGTACTCAGTAAATGCCATCCGTATACAAAGCAAGGTTTGCTCTCCGCCTTCCACTTCCTTGATGGCTGTCTCTCACTCCAACCCCATGCATTCAACGATGGACTGAACGGCAGTTGTCTCGACCGTACCAGCATGTGTTCAATCCAAAACGAAAGGTGCATGTATCACCTTGACATTGTGGTCATCTAGCCGACGATCTTGAGAGTCCTGTCTTTGGCTGTCAGTTAGCTTCTTTCCTCTGATTACCTCCAACTCTACTTTAGGTTCAACTTGGTTTGAGCCGACATGGTTGATTGCACGTATACGATAGTCAGTAGCCGGTGTCGAATGACAACAAGAAGCAAGCAGACATGGCGGATTGGCTTCAAGAAATCAAATCTGGTAGCCAGACTTGGGAGCAATTTCCGATGCTTCTGACAAAACAAAACAAAACAAAACAGTTTGCAGCCTTACCCCCCCCAGCTCTTCCAGCTTTCTGTGATGGCTGTACTGGTCCCTTCAGCGTTCCACATGCTCTGGATTGCAAACGTGGCGGCCTAATCATCCGTCGCCATAATGAAATCCGCAATGAACTTGGTTTTATTGCGTGTGAATGCTTTGGTTCCTCTAGCGTTCAGTCGGAACCACCCCTTCCATCTGTTCCTGCCCCTACTATCCCTGCAGGTCACCCCATTTCCACCTTACCTCACCTTCCTCTCCCCCCCTCTCAATCCCCCTCCAGCCCCCGAGCTCGTGTTGAGCAGCAACACGCCTGGGGAACCCCCCGTCCGAGTGTCCACGCCCCGCAGCGTGGAAACTTGAACCCTGAT